TTCTTTCTCTCTCTCTCTGCCTGCCTCTCTGCCTACTTGTAATCTCTGTCAAATAAATAAATAAAATCTTTGAAAAAAAAAAAGAAAGGCTCTATCTCCAAATACAGTCTCATTCTGAGTTCTGGGGATTAGGGCTTCAACATTAGAGTTTTAGGGGGACACAATTCAGTCCTTAACACACTTTATAATCCAGAACGTTCTCATGTGTTTCCTAAATTTATATGTCAATGGATATAGTATTTGTGTGTTAAAGGACACAGTAAAAGTATGGGAAATTAGCTAAAAACCTTTTCATGGAGCACGAAAAACACTGTGGGAACCCAATAGGAAATATGTACCATTGGCCTTCACATTTGAAGCAATTTTAAACTGGAAAGGTGAGTGAGGATGATTCCTCTGTCTGTGCTGACTCTTACCAGGGCTCAGGTTAGAGCTAACTTATCCTTAGTACTGGAGGGCTGGCCTGGCAAAGCAAGTCCAAGTCCAGGGCTCTAGTTAAACAGGGGCTCCAAAAGGTTTTCGCATGAAGAAAACATAATGTTAAAGAAAGACAAAACATTGAAGGGGGGGCGCCTGGGTGGTTCAGTGGGTTAAAGCCTCTGCCTTCGGCTCGGGTCATGATCTCAGGGTCCTGGGATCCAGCCCTGCATCGGGTTCTCTGCTCAGGGGAGAGGCTGCTTCCTCCTCTCTCTCTGTCTACTTCTCTGCCTACTTGTGATCTCTGTCAAATAAATAAATAAATCTTTAAAAAAAAAAAAAACATTGAAGCGAATTGGAGCAGCAGGGGAAAAAATGGAAATGGTTAAACTTCTTTATATTTGCTTATATATATATGTATATTTTAGAGAGAGCAGGCTTGTGAGTAGGGGGATGGGGAGGGAAGTGGAGAGAGAGGAGGGGAAGGGGCAGAGGGAGAGAATCTTAAGGAGACTTCACACACAGATGGTGGAGCCCAATGTGGAATTCAGTCTCAGGTGACTAAGATCACCACCTGAGTCCAAATCAGGAATTGGTCCTTTAAATGACTGAGCCACCTAGGCACCCTATTTTTTAAATATTTTTATGTGTATGCAGGAGACAGGGTATCCTCAACTTCTCAGAGCTCATGCTCTGGGTCCCTGGTTATCTAGCACTAAATGCTTGAAAAGCTTGTCGATAGTTGAACAGCAGGCCTGAGCTTGTTTCTTGACAAACCACAAAGGCCAGTAAGAGTTAAGGATGAAGGCATTGGTATTATTTTACTACATAGATTTTGGGGGGAGGAGGGGACTGGAGGCAGAATTTTATCTTTTGTTTAGACTACAATTCTGATTTTTAATAACATCTATTGAGTTTGTTGTAAATTTTCAATGTAGAATATTGAGATGAGTATACAAAACAAAACTCCTTCTAGGGACAACATTTTTATGTTTCCAACTTGTTTATATATAGTGTGTGTATAAAATATCTGCTTATCTACATGGATATAAGTGCATGTGTATATATAGAAAATTTTGCAGAATTAGCCCATTCTCACAATCTGAGTACTTCCCACAGCATTAAATGTTATTTGAAAACAAGAAATGTAATGGAGGCTTAGTATTTTTTTCCATTTTATGAATGGATCTGGATGTATTTAATCAACGCTTCATATTTGCACACTTATGAACTTTCCTCTTTTGCTATTACAGATAAATTTATGTGGACATAAATCTTTGTGGGCATCTCTCACAATTTCTTACAGCTATATGTTCTAACAAAGATATACATTGTAAGAAAGGTCCTTCTGCTCAAGGGTAGGCACACTGTCTTTGTGGTTAAGAAAAAGCACTTTCTACCATAACACAGTCGTGTATACAGCTGGCTTCAAAGGTCTCCTGAAAATCGGGTGGAGATCCGATTTCATTCTCTGTCAGCTAAAGAGAGTCTAATCCCCTAAACCTAAGGGCTGTACTTTTCAATGCTAATGGATGCCAGGCATGTCACTGTCTCTTCCAGAGGGGCGATGTTTTGTCAAGGTGTTTATAATTCTTCCCAATCTGGCCCAGGGGAGAAAGTCCCTAGGATAGAAAAGCTGTATTAATCAGGATTCTTTTGGATATAATTGACAGAGACACAACACAAATGGCTTTGGCAGAAAGGAGTATCTCTCTGACTCTTCCCCAGGTGGACAGCCTCAGTGAGCACTGGAATGGGGACTTGGGGACTGTTAGCACTCTCTGCATCTCTCTCCTTAGACTTCTATGTGTCCGCTTCATTCTCTTGGGCTGGCTAATTCCCCACAGCTGCAACTATGGCTACTGGTGGCACCTGGCTGACACCTGTCCAGCTCTGCAATCAGGGAGGAAAGAGACTTCTCTTCTTTCCAATATTTCCTGTAGCCAGGAAAAAATTGGCTCGGATCAGGGGCCTTCCACCCCCAACAAAAATTTCTATGGTGACAGTGATGGGGTTCTGGGACCTGGTCGTTCCTGTTGAAGATGCAAGAGTAGGAGAGGTTGGGAGGGACAAGAGCAGAATCTCCCAAAAAAGGGGATAGTGCTGGTTCCAGCAGAACAGAAAGGAGCTGGCCAGGTAAAAGCAGAGGTCTTCTGAAGAATGCAGTGATAACTATGCTCTTTCCCTCCCCACCTGGACCCCCAGGGAATTAGGAGAGTGATGGTTTAACCACTCAGTCCTTACAGGGTCAACTACGGACAGCCTTTTCCTGCAAAGTTTCTGGTTGTAAGAACACTCCTTTATTATGGATGGTGAAATGCTCCAATTTAGCATTTTGCATGACTCCACAAATCAGTCTAGTTGTTGAACATTAATAGTAATGTTCTCTGGGTATTTGGTATGGTTCCAGCTAGGATGCTAAAGGCATTTGGCAGATGAGGAAACTGAGGCTGAGAGAGGACAAACATAATTTCCCCAGGCCAGTGGCTAGACAAAAGTAGAGGTAAAGTTGAAAACCACATCTCTCTCTCTCTGATTTTCTGCACGTTTGTACTCCCCATGCTGCCTGATGGTGCTAGGCTGGGACTTGGTGTGTCAAGCTTGACCTTACAAGGGGCTTTCCAGGGCCTGAATGCCAGCATCTCCTTTCTGTACTGGTCTTTGAAATAATGGTTCATCTCTCCTTGATTCTAATCAAGGTTGCTTGTTGCTCATGGTCTTTCTGGACCTGCCGTGTGAATCCTAATCTGCCCAAAATTTAGCTTTATTAAAAACATTCAGCCAGTTTATTTTTTTGAACTTCCCCCCTAACTTTTTGCTGAGATCTTGACCATAATTATTTTTTTCTCTGGCTCACACTGAATCCTTTTTGCTGTGAAGTTGTTTGCTTAAGTTCCTTATCACTGAAGTTCTCCTAACATCTTCCTGAAGACAAAGCCTGCTGGGTTGGATTGCTAAACTGAGCATATAGCTAAAAATCCTCTTGGTTAAGTTCTCCCCATATACCCATCAGCGCCTGAAACACTTATTCTCAGATTTACACATTAACTCTACGTTTCCTCTCTGTGTTGCCCAAACAGGGCATCTCTACAACCTACTAAATTCTATTTTACTGCCAAGAGTCTTTAAAAAAATCTCACAATCATATTTTAAACACTAAGGGATAGGCTTCTGATAAGAACATAAGGTTAAAAAAATAATAATACAAGGTTTATCACTCCCAAACAAAGATGAAATAGCTTGCAGAAGATAACACAGCAAATGAGATGGTGGAATTGAGATTCTAATCCAGATCTGGCACAAAGGCAAAGAGGATGGTCCTTGAATCACAGCAGGCTTCCTTCTGTGGATGGCTATGTCAGCAGGTGAAGGGGGCTGTGTGGGATTCAGGAAAAGCCCCAGAACAGGAGGCCTCCATAATGCAACTCGAGGGCATCATTTCACCACCTCACAATTGAAACTGTTTTAAAATAGCACATACCTAGTTGCTTATTATGACTCCAAACTGTTCATTTTGACACTGTTCAAAATGCTTTACCAATATTAGCTCATTTCTCTGTTTTCATTAATAACTTTCTGAAGCCAACACCGTGCAGCTATGTATTTTATAAACTGCTAGTGTAGTTCCAAGACAGTTTCATATCCAGTAGCTGACAGTGAGCCCCAATTACTGACCAAGGACACTGTACGTGGGGGGTGGAGGAGGGAGGGGGTTCGAAGGTGTGGAGAAGACTCAGGCCATGAACACTGTGCTGTCATTTTTCTGTGCTTTTTGTTTTGTTGTGTGTGTTTGTTATTCACAAAGTTAGAAGGAGGCTGGCAGGATTAATCTATGACTCGCTCACGTGTCCCATGGTACAGATTACTGGATCTCTATAGGTCGTAGTTCTTGTGTGGGGTTTTTGCAGCAAAGAGAGACAACAAAGAGGCAGCTTGTGCAGTGAGCACTGTGGGATTTGGTTCTAAAGTTTTTGCCATCTAGGGGAGAGTAACTCTGAAAGTAAGCCGCTTTGACTAGGCAGCCGGTCAGGTGTGCTTGTGACACAGGCCGATTCAGGCTTCAGGGCCCTTCCTGACAAGGGGCAAGAGTAAGTTATTTATTAAAAACAAAGGAATAGCAATAATAAAATAATCCAATGACACGTGAAGATTTACTTAAAAAGAAAAAAAAAAAAAACTTCTGAAGTGCCTCCCAGATGTTTTATCTCTGGAAAAGGAGCACTGGTGGCGAGTTCGGTGTCAGCTCCCAGGGACCCGCCGCTCTGGGCACCACTGCCCTGCGGCGCTAACTCGGACGGGTGAGGTTCCGGCTGTCAGAGGACCCGAGGATGTGGTCGCGCCGCGGGCTCTGATTGGCGGAAAAATGGCAACAAGAGGGCGGAGCCGAAGCGAAGGCGCGGGGAATAGCCGCCTGCCCGGGGAACCCCAGCGCGGACACGCCCCTCACCGCCCCCCGCCCCGCCCCGGCCACCGCCTCGGGCCTGCCGTCCCGCCGCGCCGCGCTCCCATTGGTACCCGGCGGTTGAAGCGCGCGATTGGACGGGGGCTGCCAGGGCCGCGGGGCGGGAGCGAGGGGCGGGGGCCCGGCGCGCGGCTGATGAAACCCGGCGCCGGAGCCCGCCCGCTCTCCACGCTCCATTCAGTCAGCGCGGGCAGGTGAACTGACGGGCGGGGCGCGAGGCCAGCCGGCGTCCGCTAACCGCAGCCCCAGCTCCCGCTCCCTGCGCGCTGCGCCTCCGTCCGAGCGGCCGTCCTCCCAGCGGCGCGTGCCGAGCCCCTCCGCGGACTAGCCGGCATCCTGCCACCCGCCGCCCGCCCGCCGCCTCGGTGAGTGCCCGGCCCCCGCCGGCGCTAGGGCAGCTACTTGGCTTCGGGTCACCTTGGAGGGGCCCCCGGCGCCGCGTGGGGCCGCGGGAGGGCGGCGCGGGGAGCGGCGTGGGTCCGGCGCCGGGGGTGCTGGCATCCTCCGGGGTGGGCAAGGGCAGGACGGGCGCGGGGCTGTGCGCGCGGGGCCGGTGCCCATGCGGCTGTCTCCTCCACCGGAGTCCATTTTGGTTCCCTGAAGGCGCGCGGCGTGGTGCATGATGCAACACCGAGTGAGTAAGCGTGGACGACCTGGCGCCGCCGTGATGCCCGCCGCGCGCGCCCGCCAGCGACCCTGCGCCGGGACCGTCCGGGTGGTCGCGGTGGGCAGGGGGCGGGAGTGGCCGCAGCAGCGGGCACGCGGGCCCGGCCGGGAGGCATCCGGAGGCCTGCCCTTACATGGCGCGGAGCAGAGCACCCCGCCCCGCCACGAGGTCTGCGATGTGTCATCGTCTTGGTGGGAGCCCGCCCTGTGGCCGCGGGGGTGGTCCCGCGGCAGGTGGCCGGCCTGGGGACAGCGGTGCACCCCCGCACCCTGCCTGCGGCGCCCACCTCTTATCACTAGAGCTCGGGTCGCGCCGTGGCCCGCCTACACCTCTTGTCTGAGTTTCCAGGGTGATTTCGGGGAAGTTCCCCCCTGGGTGGGCTGCCTTGTGACCCGATTTGACACATGAAGGCTGAGTTCTTCAAGCCTTCCAGATGGTTTGGAGGGAGAGGAAGTTATTCCGGCTTAATAAAGACAACCTTTTCTCAGTGTGTTCCTTTCTGCGTAGTAGAAAACTTCCCAAACTGGGCAGGTCGAGCAGGCATTCTAAACCCGTGTGTACACAGAGCAGCCCTTGTGCTGAGTACTACTACGGAGTGCTATTTTAGCTCCTTCCCCTTTTCAGTGGGTGTGGGAACCAGATACCGGTGGTGTTTGTCTGGTGAGATTAGGGTAGTAGAGACATGTGCCTCCAGGAAGAAAACTGCACCTCCCAATACACGTGATGGGGATCTCTCTCTCTCCAGGGAAGAAACCTAGACTTGTGTTCTGTTCCAGGTGTAGTTATGGGAGGAGAGGGTTGGGATTTCAGTCCCTGGTATATTTCCTTAAAAATGTGCTCTTTAAAATTTGGTCAGCGGAGAACTGTTTGTTGGCTTGTGGCTGAATTTTCTAATTGTCTTTAATTTGAATTATAATTTACTTGGGAGTTGATAGTAACATTTCTTGCCCTTTATGTTTGGTTCAAATAGTAGGAAACCATGATACATTTATTCCCCTGATATTTTTAGTTGGTCTCAGTGGAAATTATCATTATTTTTATATGAACACACCCTTCTGTCATTAAAACAAAAGGTCTTATTTAAGCCACATAATCAAAATAGAAGTTAGGGGACAAAGTCAACAATGGATTAACATAGTTTTCAAAGGTTTAGCATATTACGATCATGTTAATCATTATAGATAAATTTAAAGAGTGTCAAAGGAGTTCTGACTAAGCAAACAGGACAAAACTTAATAGAGATCAGAAATATACGCAGTTGGTTGAATCTGGATTTGGGCCAAACGAGTGCTCTTATCTATATAATTACTTGCTTTAGAAGGAAAAAGTCTTGGAAGGCAAGATTGCCAACCCTGGGGAGCTTGTATTCTAAGACACATGTTAATTATATTTGGTATAAGTACATGTTTATTGATTGTTCTAGTCTGGATTTTTTTTCTACTAAGATCAGTAAAAATATGTAATTATGTTGGAGGGCCCAGTATTATGTCTAATTGGATTAATCCTTTTTCATTATTAACCATGTATTTGGAGGTATTGGTTTATTAATCCTATGGAGGAATTTGAAATAAGAATAAGTAATGGAGAGAAACATTTTCCTATATCCCAGATGCATCTTGTAGCTATTTATCATTTTATCTGGTTCAGGTCCAAGCAGGACCTGTGGATGGGAACCTAGTGTTTTTCTGTATGATTGGTCTCTTCACGCCTGGGGCCCATCTGTATCACTGCCCTCTTCCAGTCGAGGGCAGATCACATGAACCATGAGGACTTTGCTTTTCCTTTGGATGAGCTAGAGAACCCTCCAAGGATTACTTTAAATGCTGCATGGAGATCATGTGGAGGTGCGGGAAGTGGGCAGGAATAGGAGCAGGGAGACATGTAACTTAAGTCTGGAATACAATCCAGCTCCATGTTGTATGTGCGTAAGAGAGAGTGACCATATGTCATTTCCTTGAGCTGCAATGGCTTGGGCTGGGGTGGTAATGGTAGAGATGGGGGCGGGGGTTGAGTTCTGCTCCACCTGTAGACTTAACTACTTGTTCCAACTGTAGATTTTAAAGGGAGACTCAACAGGCTTGACCTGGGGAGTCCACGTGAGGTGTGAAAGAGGTCAAATACGATTCCAAGAAGTAGAGCTGCCATATGGTATTAACGAGATGGGAATGTGGAAGAATGAGCATGTTGGGAAGGACTCTTCTAAAAGTCACAATTGACTTTTTTTTAGACATTTCTGTTCTCAAGGCTGAAGTCGATCTGTCTGCTCCGGGGCCCCTCTCAGGTTCATGACTGCATTGTAACCACCTGCCCCAGTATGGTGGCTTCCTTCTTTTTCACCTATCTGTCTTGCTTCCTCACACCTAATGTAGGGATCTCTTGGTGCTTGCAGACTCCCTGTGCTCCCCCTGCCACCTTCCAGTAAGCACCTTGGCTGTGGGTTTGTCCCATGGCCAGGACGGGGACCCTCTGCCACACGAGGAATACCTCCTTTTTCATTCTTGGGCCTTCCAGGGCACCTGCTTCCAGGGGTTTCTTGTGTCTTGGGGCAGTGGCATTGGTTCCCAGGCCAAGGTTGTATCCACCACAAGGTTTCAGGTCTCTTCCAGCTGCAGAATAGTGGTGTACCATCTCTCATGACAAATTAACAGCCCTGTAGTACTCTTGAGGGACATCTCTCTCCTCTTTCTCCATAATCTTTCTCCCCCGACTCCAAAGCATCTTTGAAAAGAACAATCCCAGGGCGCCTGGGTGGCTCAGTGGGTTAAAGCCTCTGCCTTCGGCTCAGGTCATGATCCCAGGGTCCTGGTATCGAGCCCCGCATCGGGCTCTCTGCTCAGCGGGGAGCCTGCTTCCTCCTCTCTCTTTCTCTGCCTGCCTCTCTGCCTACTTGTGATCTTTGTCTGTCAAATAAATAAATAAAATCTTAAAAAAAAAAAAAAAGAAAAGAAAAGAACCATCCCTGCAGTTGTTCATACTGCATCATAATCTGTCATGGGAGGTTTAGTGCATTTGCCACCTGTGAGTCGGAAGAACGGCGACAGATTGGTAAAACAGTTTGGTGGACTGCTAAATACATTCATCCCACTCGAAAGGCATTCCTTCAGATCTATGGCATTGGCAGAGCTGTGAGGAAGGCTGGTTACTTTACCCTTGGTCCGGAGTCCTTCTTCTAGGGACACCGGCTCTAGGAAAGACATTTCTCGACACTGGAATCAATTCTGGCATAGGGTTCACCCATCCTGCCACACCCAGTCTTTCCTTTGGCTTTTCCCCTCTGTTGATTGTCAGTAAGGGTTCAGACTGCCAGACGGTACATTTGGTGACCGAATGGCATGAATGAGTTTGAGTCGTGTGGTTAGGGGCCTTTCCAGCTTCAGTGCAGGCTGAGGTGAGGTGCCTTCAGAGGAAGGAGGCTGCTTTGGGGAGCTGAGGACAAGTAGTAGGCATGCTGGGAACAGCTCCCCTGTAGGCTTCTGGTGTCTGGCTTGGCCACTCTGTGGGCAGCCCGCCAGAGTGGCGTTCAGACTCTCAACCCCGTGGACTCGCTCCATCCATAGATGGGGGAAGCCTTCCCTCTCAGCCTCCGGATAACGAAGCTCACAAACTACGAATTCCATAGTATTCTTTGGATGAATAAAGGTCTCGGAATCAATATTGAGAATTCTTTCATGAAGTAAGTTCTTCCTGTTACCAGTGTACTGTTCTGACTACGGCAACCAGAAATCAAGCTCAGGGAAGCCTTCAAAGGCTGCTGCCAGGGGGAGTATCCGAAGGTGGAAGAGAGGATGTCCCACAGCTTCCCTGGGCTTGTGCGTATTTCTCTGTCCTCTCTCCCTTTCTCCCGAGTGGATCGTGAGCTTGTTCTTCCCTTTTCTGGAGGCACAGAGGGCATGGACAGCTTTGTTTCCTTAACATCCTGTATTTCTGCTCTAGTGCTTTCTCCGGAATATTTGTTCAGATCACTTGACTGTGAGAACGAACATATCCTTTCCCATTCGTTCAGGAGTGGGTCCTACCCTCTCAGTGCTCCACGTGTCACGAATTCTCTGTTGTAGCGATCAGCTCGCAGTACTGACTTTGGGCTGCCGGGGAGTGGCCTCTGCTCGGCGTGGCCAGCCTGAGTTCTCCAGGGATCATGGGCTGTGGGGGTCACAGGAGAGGCCAGGGCCCCTCATGCAGAAGGGGCTGGGTCCCCGAGTGAGATCTACTTCCAGGGTAAGTGCCTTTTCTAATGTAGTTCTCACATGTAACTTCTTCGCCATATTGTTTGCCTAATAATCAGCTTCTCCTGCCTATCTTACAGGATCGAGAGGATTTAAGTGAGGTATCATCTATGTTATGTTCTTGACACAGCTTCTGGCACATATCAACAGCTTAAAATAAGTGTTAACTCTTGTACTGGAAAGAAAACTCAGTTCTTTGGTTTAGGTGTGGAGGAAATAATTCTTGTAACAAGTTTGTTTTGCTCTCCCATTCTGCCAAGGGGTTAAAATATAGTCCCTTTTCCTTGGAATTAGATTGCTGGGGGTGGATGGAGTGCCAAGGTGTTGGGGGGACATTGAGCCTCTGAGGCATCTGCTGACCCAGGTCCAGAATCAGTGAATGTGACCTTAGTTCCTGTACCATTGTCCCCTCTAGCCCTCTGGGGCTCTCTTCACCATTGACCTTTTAAAATTGAGGTCATGGGGAGCATTCTGT